GATGACATAATTCCTAAACTACTAATCAGGTACAATACAGGTGAGAATATCGTGATTCCCGGCTCTACAACACATGCACTAACAAAGATGAATAATGGTTAAAAGAGATCTAATTGGAAGTCTAGAATACATCTTGGAAGATCTGTATTGGAAGTCATAATTGGAAATCTAATATTTTATTCAATTCACTAAGGAAAAACAATTAAAATGCAGTAAAAAAAAACACAATATATTCCCCTACGAAAACTAAAATTACTATTTCCCAAGTTCATAATTCTGTTGACACAACTTTCAAAAAGTAGAGGTGAATTGTGAGCAGCTCTCATTATGCACATGTTTTACATAGTGTTTTGGTCAGAAGCCTCAAGTTATTTTTTCCCAGGAATATTCATGAGATCTCTAATCGTAGTTCTCATTCTATAGTTTATAAGTTGGAATATAATAGGGTAACAATAAGCTTCAACTGTTCTGGCTTTAAGAGCTAAAACTGGTATGGTTAAAGAATCTCAGTGATTTAGATATGCTAAATAAACACAAAATAGAATGCACTGAAGTCAGCTTTATTTCTGTGTTCAATTTCCTTTGCAAAGAATCTAAATGTATTTCTTTTTGGGGGCTTTGACCTGTGGTTTCCATTAATTGAAGTCTCATGGTTGTAAATTTAATCATGTGATAATTTTTTTTTCTCTTCCTAACCTTCATCTGTGTTCTAAGATTTCGTCTATTGAGTATAAGATAATAATGGGTTCTGACTACAAGTCAAGCTATTCTTTAGCAAACAGAAACAATTACGCTTGGTAATAAGGTTAAATAATTATTGCTAAGCTATGTGTTGCGATTACAACAGAACTTTGAAATGACTACAGTATGATTAGAATAAGAAGGTGAGATAGCACGATGCTTATGAAATGAACTGGAAAGTGCCTGTGCTGCTGTGTTTATTGTAAATGTATCAGGATGATGGTTCATTTATTTTAAACTAGTTCAGAGCATAAAATAGGTGACAGTTGGAACAATGCACTAGCTTTAACTGTAGATTTTGTGAATGGCAAAATAATCATCAGTAGTAAAATAAAAGAATTCCTGTAATTCACATTGTATCAGGTAATTTTTTTTTTGACTTTTGTATACTTAAGCAGACCTTTTCATTCAGTATATTCTAATCCTACAAAATACTATTGTAAGAGTCATTAGGCTATTTAAAAACAATAGCCACCTATTGCTTGCAAGAAACTGTTTTTCTATTTTATGTATAAGGGATCAATGTATTTTACAGTGGGCTTTTAGGTACTGCACTTTTATTGTGAATACTCGCCAGAGGAAAAGTTTGAATAAAAAGGAGCTTATATTTTCACAGATGAGGGAAAATTGTAATGCCAAATGAGTTGGTTAAATAATGGAATTATTTATACAATATCTAAGATTGGTAGGCTTAATGATTTCCTTTTTTACTTTTAAATATCTAAAAATAAGTTATTCTTATTGGAAAAAAAACAACAACAACCAAAACATTGTACTGAAACAAAAGGAACATGCCATCATAGTGCTTAACTGTAGAGTCTTTAGTGCTTCTACAGCCCAGTACAGAATGAGGAACACGGAGGTTTAAGACAAATACTCTTTATCCTCTAAGTTAGAACAAGTTATTCAATCACGCATTAAGACTTTCTCAGACAACTTTTACAGGTCATTCAAAAACATTCTGTGTGTGTGTTGTTCCAAGTGAACTGTTATTAATGCCTCAAACTTAGGTATCTGGCGTTGTGGGTAGAGTCCCACAGAAATCTTCGTGGTTTGCTAATTTTAAAAGATCAATCGAAAACAGTGCTTCGGGGGCTAATATTTAGGGAATAAGGCTGATCCTTTCCGGAGTCATTCCGTTTAGCTCTTGTATGAAAAAGGAGAAACCTGTGAGGATTTGGTACAGAACTGGAGTCAGAAATGCACAGGGAGAGACAAGTACTACATGTAAAGTTGCAATCAGAAGTGCAAAAGGAAAGGAAATGCTCTACAGCTTGGGGAACAGCTGGACGGGACTTCTTCCAGCCTCTCACAAGCAAAGTTTGCAGTTAGGCGAGCTGGATGCAGGTTTTGCTGCAGCCGCGCGACCTGACGAGCTCGGGTTCCTAGGTTTCTGGACACCGCGGGAGTCGAAGTGCAAGTACAGCTAAGATAGGTCGCCGTGGCCCACGCTGTTCTCCGAGACGAGACTTTGCACCGCACGCCAGACAGGCCTGGGGCTGATCAAGGGCGTCCCAGAAGCTGCCACTTTCCCTTTCCCCAGGCATCTTCCATCACCCTGCTTCTAGATAGTGCGCAAATTTTCTTTCCAGTCCTGGTTGAGATTCAAATATCCTGTCCCGACCTTTCGCTATCCGCCCTCTCTGCCCTTCTTGCCAATGTTCCTGCCAGCAAAAGCCTCTAGTTGCAGCACCGGGCATGTTGTCTGTTTAACGCTCTCCGGAGATCCGTTGGCCCGTGCTTCCTCCTGAGGGGTGACAGCGCATGTCGTGTCTCATACCCTGGTTTGACTATTCCCTCCCTTCGCATTCTGGCCCCTCCATTTAGTAAAGACAAGTGCGAAATGTGCTCTCGGAGATGAGCCGTCTCTGCACCCCCCCCCGCCCCCCACCATCCGCCCATCGCGGTGAGGGAGGCTCCCCGGATCCTTGCCTGCACTGCCCGCCTGCCTCCCGCGCCGCCCCGGCTCGTCCCACCACTGGTGCTCCGCGGTTCTCTGCCCCTCGCCGCACAGAGCAAACCAAAGGGCGGCTCACGCAGCGAGAGCTGCCTCCGCGCCGGCCTGGGGAGCAGCGGCACTTCCCTCCGGGCCGAACCCTGCTGGGCATGCTCAGTGCGCCTCCTGGAGCCCGGCTCTCACGGGGCCAGGATCAGTTCTCCGGGTTTTCGCGGCTGCCGAGGGGGCGCTGAGGAGGGGAGGCTGGGAGACAGTCAGCGCCTTGTTCCTCGCCCCCTCCCTCGTGCCTGGCTGCAGCCGCCCGCACCGCAAGATGCGGGCCAATCAGGGGCCGGAGGCGGGGCTCTGGCAGTCACGCCCTCCCTCTGGGCTTATTGAGAGTTATATCAAGAAATTCAGTTCAGAGAGGAGAGAGGAGAGGGAGAAGGAGAGAGGGGCAGAGGAGAAGGGAGAGAGGGAGAGCATGCAAGACAGGAAGGAGCGCCTTAGAGTCTCTGAAGCACGAAAGACATAACCGATTAGGAATTTTTCGGGCAACTGTCATCCCGGAGAGCAGCCAGAGAATCACCATCACCCCAACTCTGACGTTTCCTACCAGAAGTTAGACTTAAGCAGTATTGACATCGGAGGGAAATGGTATGCCTGATGCTGTGGAAAATACTCCTGAGCTGAAGAAGTGCAACTGGATGTTGTGTGTGTGTTAAATACCAGAAGAGCCCAGACCCCGTGGTAATAGAGACGAAAATGTGAAGAGAATGACTAACGACAAATCTGTGAATTTGTTCTCTGGAGTTGCTAATTTGCCAGCCCGAAGCAACACAATTCACAAGGAGGAAACGTTTTGCTGCTTCTGATTTCTCCCCAAACTGGTGCTACCAGATGCATGGCTTTCTATGTGTTGGAACAAATCATTCCTAACTGCAGCATACCGGGAAAGGGGAAAGGTTGAGGCAACTAACGTAAGTGTAAAGTTTCGCATGCACAATTGTAAATTTTGTGTTTAGATATGTCCTCAGTGTGGACGAGGGATGTTTGTAATTGGGTAGACGGTTGGGGCAGAGCTCACCTACTAGGCTGTATCTGCATCCCTACCTGCATCACTCTGCTGGAACTAATCGCGGGCATCAGCTACCGTACAGCCTAATGCAGATAAGATTAGAGCCTGGGAACTGACCAGTTCTACTCAAGTAGGTAGCTGCCTGGAGCCTTGCACCCATTTAAATTGCAGTTAGGGGAGCATCTAAACAGAAGCCTTTTTACCTGCGTTACTGGGTTGCAGTATTTATGTGTGGCAGATGTTACTCATATTATAACCAGGGATCAGGGTTAAGAAACTGCATTTTTTCCTCTTTTATGTTCAGTAGAAAATATTGTGCTGTTACATGGAAATGTTAGCTGCGTTTTACTTCCATCTCCACACTCTCTTCCACATCTAGGATGAGGAATCTTGTATTATACATTTTTAAAAGTTTTAGTGTGTTTCTTAATCCAAATGGGGATAATTTGGCAATATGGAGAAATGAGAGCAAGGTCTGGGTAGGAAATTTGAAGTGTCGGTATCGTGCTTTTAAGCAATGAGGCTATGTAGTGGCCGGTGACTATTGCTTCTGATGCTGCAGCAGCATGTCCGGGTGCTTGTTTCCCAGTAAGATTGTATTAGAAGGCAGTTGAGGAACTGGGAGGAAAGAAGAGATAGTCTTTTTAGAGGAAAGAGGTGACTCAGTGTAGCAGAGAAGAAAACATCACATTTGACATGTGACAAAGCAATTAGCAGGAACCATAGCTAAATACTTGGTGTTTTTCACTTGCACCTAAAAAAACTAAGGGAGGTGGGTTAGAAGCCAGGAGGCGGGTAAGACAGGGGGAGGGGAAGAGGAGAACAAGAATGCATGTTTTGAATTAAACAGTGTCCTGAAAAACAGTGTGGGTGAATTCAGGTAAAAATAGCAGCTGTCCTTAATTCAAAAGTAGATTAATTTCATTTTCTCCTGGCAAATGCGACAAGCAGTGGATATTTAGTGTTTTCATCCACAGAGTTAACTTGCAAACAGTGGCAGAGCAAACTGCCATGTTTACTAATGTGCAGTGGAAAATGTGTTGTGATATTTCATGACTGTGTGTTTTTGTTTACTGAAGAATAATATTGTCTATACGATTGTGTTGACAGTGGCTGTCTCCAAATAAGCGATGAGATGTAATGCATCCTCCAGTCCATGCACGCTTCCTCTTGCAATTCGTGCATCATTCCTCAGTGGAAACCTTTAAACCCTAAAATCCAGGAAAAGAAAATAAATACATTATCATGGACCTGAGGGATTTTTACCTGTTGGCTGCTCTGATTGCCTGTTTAAGGCTGGATTCCGCAATAGCTCAAGAACTTATTTACACTATTAGAGAGGAATTGCCTGAAAATGTGCCCATAGGAAACATACCAAAGGATCTGAACATTTCTCACATCAATGCTGCCACAGGGACCAGTGCCAGCCTTGTCTACAGACTGGTTTCTAAAGCTGGGGATGCCCCTTTGGTGAAAGTATCCAGTAGCACTGGGGAAATTTTCACAACCTCCAATAGAATAGACAGAGAAAAACTCTGTGCTGGAGCCTCTTATGCTGAGGAGAATGAGTGTTTCTTTGAACTTGAGGTAGTGATCCTCCCCAATGATTTTTTCAGGCTGATCAAAATAAAAATAATTGTCAAGGATACCAATGATAATGCCCCCATGTTTCCATCCCCTGTCATCAATATTTCCATTCCAGAAAACACTTTGATCAACAGCCGCTTTCCAATTCCATCAGCAACAGATCCTGACACAGGCTTCAATGGTGTACAGCATTATGAATTGTTAAATGGGCAGAGTGTTTTTGGACTGGATATCGTGGAAACTCCGGAGGGAGAGAAGTGGCCGCAATTGATTGTTCAGCAAAACTTGGACAGAGAACAGAAAGATACCTATGTGATGAAAATCAAAGTAGAGGATGGAGGCACTCCACAGAAATCCAGCACGGCCATACTGCAGGTCACAGTAAGTGATGTAAATGACAACAGGCCAGTGTTTAAAGAGGGTCAAGTGGAGGTGCATATTCCAGAGAATGCTCCTGTGGGCACCTCTGTAATTCAGCTCCATGCCACTGATGCAGATATAGGCAGTAATGCTGAAATCCGGTACATTTTTGGTGCCCAGGTCGCCCCTGCAACCAAAAGGCTCTTTGCTTTAAATAATACTACTGGACTGATTACAGTTCAGAGGTCCCTAGATCGAGAGGAGACAGCCATTCACAAAGTGACAGTGCTGGCTAGTGATGGCAGCTCCACTCCTGCTCGAGCAACGGTTACCATCAATGTCACTGATGTAAATGATAACCCTCCTAACATAGACCTCAGGTACATTATAAGTCCCATCAATGGCACAGTGTATTTATCTGAGAAAGATCCTGTCAATACAAAGATTGCCCTAATTACAGTTTCAGATAAGGACACAGATGTGAATGGCAAAGTGATCTGTTTTATTGAAAGAGAGGTCCCATTTCATTTGAAGGCAGTATACGATAACCAATATTTGTTAGAGACCTCCTCTTTGTTGGACTATGAGGGCACCAAAGAATTCAGCTTTAAAATTGTTGCCTCTGATTCTGGGAAACCCAGTTTAAATCAGACTGCCCTGGTAAGGGTTAAGCTTGAGGATGAAAATGACAACCCACCAATTTTCAACCAGCCTGTAATTGAGCTGTCAGTTTCTGAAAACAACCGACGTGGGTTATACTTAACAACTATTAGTGCCACAGATGAAGACAGTGGGAAAAATGCGGACATTGTTTATCAGCTTGGACCGAATGCCTCCTTCTTTGATTTGGACCGAAAGACAGGAGTTTTGACAGCCTCCAGAGTCTTTGACAGAGAAGAACAGGAGCGGTTCATTTTTACAGTAACTGCCAGGGACAATGGAACCCCTCCCCTCCAAAGCCAAGCGGCCGTGATAGTTACTGTTCTGGATGAGAATGACAATAGCCCCAAGTTTACTCATAATCATTTTCAATTTTTTGTGTCTGAGAATCTGCCAAAGTATAGTACTGTGGGGGTAATCACAGTGACAGATGCAGATGCTGGAGAGAATAAAGCTGTGACTCTCTCCATTCTAAATGACAATGATAATTTTGTGCTGGATCCCTATTCTGGAGTCATAAAGTCAAATGTCTCATTTGATAGAGAGCAGCAGAGTTCCTACACTTTTGATGTCAAAGCCACTGATGGAGGACAACCACCTCGTTCCTCCACTGCAAAAGTAACTATCAATGTCATGGATGTCAATGACAATAGTCCAGTTGTCATTTCTCCACCTTCCAACACTTCTTTTAAGTTGGTACCCCTCTCAGCCATTCCTGGCTCTGTGGTAGCAGAAGTTTTTGCAGTGGATATCGACACTGGGATGAACGCCGAACTGAAGTATACAATTGTGAGTGGGAACAACAAAGGCTTGTTTCGGATCGATCCAGTAACAGGTAACATCACTCTGGAAGAGAAGCCAGCACCTACTGATGTGGGCTTGCACCGTTTGGTGGTCAATATAAGTGACCTGGGATACCCTAAGTCTTTGCACACACTCGTGCTTGTTTTTCTTTACGTTAATGACACCGCTGGGAATGCCTCCTATATCTATGACTTGATTCGCAGGACTATGGAGACCCCACTGGATAGGAACATAGGGGACAGTAGCCAACCCTATCAAAATGAGGACTATCTCACCATCATGATTGCCATCGTCGCAGGGGCCATGGTGGTCATAGTGGTGATCTTCGTCACCGTCCTGGTGCGATGTCGCCATGCATCGAGGTTCAAAGCAGCTCAGAGGAGCAAGCAAGGTGCTGAGTGGATGTCCCCAAACCAGGAGAACAAACAAAACAAGAAAAAGAAAAGGAAGAAAAGAAAGTCTCCCAAGAGCTCTCTTTTGAACTTTGTTACAATTGAAGAGTCCAAACCTGACGATGCAGTTCACGAACCTATCAATGGGACAATAAGCCTGCCCGCTGAGCTGGAGGAGCAAAGTATAGGAAGATTTGACTGGGGCCCAGCCCCTCCAACAACCTTCAAGCCTAACAGCCCTGACCTGGCCAAGCACTACAAATCTGCTTCTCCACAGCCTGCTTTTCATCTTAAACCAGACACTCCGGTTTCCGTGAAAAAGCATCATGTGATTCAGGAACTCCCTTTGGACAACACCTTTGTCGGGGGTTGTGACACCCTCTCCAAACGCTCTTCCACTAGTTCAGATCACTTCAGTGCCTCAGAGTGCAGTTCCCAAGGAGGCTTCAAGACAAAGGGCCCCTTACACACCAGACAGGTAAACGAGCACTTTTACTGGTCTATAAGTACTGCATACAAGTGCCCAGTCAACCAGTATTAACGTGCCAGTGTGTCTCTTGTTTTGGTCTAACTTTAGCTTAGTTATAAAGAGGGAAAAAAAAAACTTGACCCCTTTTTTTATTCTTCTGGGGCTCAGTCAAGAATTTTTAGAACAGCTTTGAATGTTCTGAGTTCTGAGAATTATTTAACTTCCCAGTTTCCTTCAAATGACAAAAGATGAAAAGAGGAAATAATTCCAAAATGTCCCAAGATAATGTTTGCTGAAGAAGAAAACCTGTCCTGTTATGCCAAATTCTGCTCCTGGGGTTTCCAAATTGACTGCTTCAAGATTTTCACATTACCTTTTGATCTAAAAAGTCACCTTCAAATCCCAAGTTTTAAATGACGTTTGAAGGTGTCGCTATAATTATTTTGGAGCTGTGGTTGCTAAAGGGGTTAATTTTTTTTTAGTCTCTAAACAAGATAGTAGTTTATTAAATGTACATCAGCCGTGAAGCACATGATTGTTGATAGATTGCAACGAAGCCATATAGGAAGCCTTCTCTTTGATTTCAGATGATTTCATTGTAATATAGTACATTGGGTATTGAATAGAAGGTTGGCAAATTGTCCGTAATGGCCAAAGTACTCTTTCAAGAAAAAAAAAAAAAAATAGAAGGAATGCTTTCTCCCTGATATAACCAATTTATACAGAAAAGAATGAATCCATTGTAAATATTCTCCCATCTTAGTAATGCATAAGTGATCTGTCATAACTCATTTTAAACTGTGAAATATGCCATATGAAGAGGGATTAAGAGGCTGAGAAACTCATATTTCAACCAAATCCAGAATTAGTTTTTCTTAGGTCTAATAATTCCTTGTTAATAAAGATTTAAATGCAGTGCTGTCTAATTTATTTCACTGGTGCTTGTCTATTGCCATGAAATTTGAGTGTCAGTAATAGCCTGTAGATGGCACTAGGGTATCATGTCGCTTGTGCTGGCCAGGCGCCCATCCCGCAGTAGCAAGGAAAGGGGGGAGGGAAGGATCAAGCTGGTACTACAGCCAAAGATACCTTTTATTTAATGATAGTTGCTCTGGAGCAACTAGCATTTCAATTCATTTGGTTGCTCTTTTGTGATTAGCTCTCACCACACCAACTTTCTAGGATTTCGTAATCTGAGTTCCACCCTTGTTGGTACTGAGTCCCCCTATGGTGATGGCCCATCTGAATTTGTTCAAAATAAGGAACATATAGATTTCAGAAAATCAAGGAAAGCAAAAATAAATTTGCAGGACAGTATTGACAATTGTTGATCAGTGTTTGAAAACTCAAGAGTTTTTCCTTTTTTTATGTGGGACGTGGGGTGAGATAGAATGTTATATTGAAACTCTATTTCCCTCTTACCATCTAGTGTTTATTGCTCTGGAATGACTTTAAGGTTTTGTGGTAATAAGATATTCATAAAACTAATTTTGACAGTGAATCACATAGATATTCCCAGAACAGTAAGCATAATGTCTATCTGTGATTATTCAACTAAAATCTCTACTTCTTAATGTAAAAGATTAGATATCTAGAGCATTTTAAAAGTACATATACTTAAAGCTTGAAGGCACAGAATGAGAGGAATTAAAATAAGTCCGTGTCAGAATTCTAGAGGAGCATATGAAGTTATCTGATAGAAGTTGAAGTTGGAAAGACTTATTTTTATGTTAACTTCATCAGCTTTTTAAGAGAGGTTGTTTTAAAATGTAGAAGATTTCTGAGCTTAGTAAAGGTTTGTGAAAGAAAGTTGGTAAATAAGATAGTTAATCATGCTAAGTAATTTTTGAAACTAATGGACTTAATGGACTTAAATATGAAGGTACTATTAATGAAAAGAAAGAAAACGGCTTTTTTATTTACTTTTTAGGTGAAGGTCACTCACAATATGCTGATATTTTATGATTTGCATACTCTCTTGAAAAAAGCAAACCTGATTTGAACTTTTCATACAAAATCTGAAATTTGTTTTCCAAAGAAACATTCTGATATTCTTCCAACATCATCTTTCTTTTCATGTAAATGTGGTGTGGATTAGCATTGACGCACGGGCCCACTTTTTCTGACTTCTCCACAAAACTTGAAACTCTATGTAGTACAGTGACATAAATGTTAAGTGCATTTCAGCAAATTATGGAAAAGATATTTTGTTTAGGCTTAGTCATAAGAACATTTGTATGATGTAATCTTTAAAATAGGATGCTGACTAATTCTCTAACTGGAACTAAAGTGCATTTTAGACATTCCTTGAGACCATGTGTTACTGTGCAGTTCTCATTGTAGTCATTTGGATGTTCAGACATAGCTGTAATTCACTATTATGCTGAAGAGCTATTGAAATGGCTTTGCTTATACCTTTTAGAAATTTTCACGCCGAGAAAGAAAAATTGCAGTGTTGGAGAAAAGGAATATTGGAAGTAAGGAGAAGTGTTGGTGATAGCAATATGTACAATTTTAGTGTAAGAGGCATATTTTCTATGAATGAAGAACATAAATTATATACGATCCTTTTAGGTTTTTTTTTTTTTTTAACTGAACTACATGAGTGTTATCTGAAGATGTTCTAGTTAAGCTAAAATAAAAATTCTATTTTTAGCTCCTTCTCTTCAACTAGTTGCTTTTATACAGAATATGCTCCTGAAGCTACACAATTTTGAAAAAAGTAGGGTTTATCACAACAAAAGCTTTCAAAGGAATTTATAAACATATAATGTGTGAAGATTTTTAGTTGAGTGGGCACAGAGTGCTGTGAACAGGAATACCTTTTTCACTTAATGGTGCTAGTTGATGTGTGAGTAAAACGCAAGATTCTTGAGTAAAGGGCTACCAAATTTAAATATCATTCATCTGTGTTGTGGATACAATGAAAACATAATGTCTGACTCTTCTGCCATCAGGGCATTAGTTCCTATTTTGTCTTTCATTCCCCTGCTGTTTTGCCTTGTGTGACCCTACAAAGAATGTTGGAAACCGTATTCCTCATCCACTCGATTTCACTGAGCTTTCATTTTCCTTGAACATAACAAATCTGTCACTGGATTTTCCACAAATTATTTTGCATGAATTTTCAGAAGTACCCTTATCATTCACAGATTGGGTGGAATTTCCCGTTTTTAAGAAAAGCAAGAGCATGTCTTGATATTTATTTATAAATAAGCAAAGTTCACTGTTAATGGGTTTAAGAGGATGGCAAGATAATCAATTCCAGTAGGGCTTTAAGTGATAAAGCTCATTGGTGTATTTTTCTAAAAGGAAAATATATTCTTAGTGGATGTGATTTTTAAAATGTGATATTAAGTTCTCAAACTTTAAGGTGTCTCGGAATGATCCGGAGGGTTTCTTAAAACATGGACCCCACTCCCAGATGTTCTGATTCAGTACCGTTGGGGTCAAGCCTGAAAGTTTCCATTGCTGACAAGATCCTAGGCATGTTGATGCTGTTAGTCCAGAGACCATACTTTGAGAACCACTGCCTCAGCATATTGGAATAAGAAACGTCAGGTCTTTTCCCTTTCAGATTATCATTTCCAGAGTACCTGTTTGTACACAGCCCAGCTCTCACTCAGCTCACTTATTGACAGCCTTTTTATTGTGGCTGGAGGGGCTTTACAGTAAGCTGTTTATTGCTATTTCCCAACCTGGTTGACAGCACTTGGGGAATTAATTTTCTTGGCCCCAGTGTGCTTTTTGTGGGGGTATAAATGAAAATGTAAAAAAAAAAAAAAAAGTGACCTATTTACATTTGACAACTTCTTCCAGTAATAAAACAATCTGTGAGAGTTGCATTACAGTCTGGTTGTGGGTAAACAGTCATGTTTAATTTTCTAAATGAAATGCTTATTTTAGAGTTTAAGTATCCTGACTTCAACTGTTCACAATCGAGAGTATTTGCTCATATGTATATCTGTGTATGTATCGAAGAAATTAAACATTGAAAATGTGTGTGCATGCTATACTCAAGTGTATACATGTGCTTTTACTACAGAAAGGGAATTGCTTCTATTCCCAGTCATTTAGAGATACCATACTACATTTATGATTATTTTTCATTTTTGAAGAATACCACTACAACCACTGAAGTGCTGTGTCACGTAAAATGCAGAAGACAGTCATAGAATTGCTATTTAGAACAGTGGGAAAATGCAATTGAAAGAAGTGAAGGCAGCAAATCTGAACTAATGTGAGGCTACTAAAAAAAATGTGACGATACTTGAAACTACTAAATGTTGCAGTATATCGTGACAGTTGAACACAGGTGGTATGTGGAGAAAAATTGCTCCCCAAGATGCAAAGTATATTTAAAATGTTGTCAGTTGCGATTTTTATTTCCACTCCTTCCCTTTGGCCAAGTGCCCTATGATCAAGAAGTCAGTTGTGAGGTAAAGGAAACCCAGACCCCTTGGATTGATTTAGGAATTTGAAATGAGGATGGGCCATCTATACAAACTGGCTACCTTTCCTCTTGGATTTGTGATACAAATACTTGATTTTTTTTTTCAACTTGATACAGCTAAGTTATAAAATTCAAGGTACATTTTAGTATTCATTGCTAATAACCTTGAGAGTAAAAATAAAAGTTGCCACTGTATTAAGCATAGTTGTGTCTTCTGATTACTGAATACGTGTTAACGTAGAGAAAACAATTTCAGTAGTTAAAAGACTATCTCCTAAATTTTACAATTATTTCTATATATAGAAACACTCTAAACTGATGTTCCCTTAGTTTCAAGTGAGTCATCCTTACGGTGTTACAGAAGAGGCTTTAACATCACTAAAATTACCTTGCAAGTATTGTGCTAAGAATACGTGATATTCTTTGGGTATATGTATAGTCTTATTAAATATTTCAAGCTATAATGTATCTTCTCATAATAGCTCAAATTAAAATATACATGAAATAGTAAAATAGAATTTAGATTTACTGAAAAACCTCAAATCTAAAACCACAT